ATATTTTAACTGTTATTGATAATTTTAAATAAACCAGAAGCTAATGTTGTTGTCTTGAATGAATGCTAAGAATGTTGTCTTGTCGACAGCAATTTCTTCCAGCAAAAGTAGATTTGCAGTACTAACTTTTATAGAATAGAATTGATATAATCATTAAATCGTAAAGGTGCGTCCAGACCTGACGAGCCCAACCTGAGCCGAGCCTGAGTCGAGCCTGATTCGCGACAAATTCCGTTTGATGTTTCGTCAAAACACCGACATACGATCTATTTTCTATCGGTGTTTTGGCGAAACAGCAAAGGAATTTGCCGCGTATCAGGCTCGGCTGCTCAGGTCTGAAAGCTCTTTTAGAGCTCTAATGATGTGTTTTAAAATTAAATAATGACGGCTTCTTATAGGCTAATTAAATAATGACGGCTACCATAGTTCTACTTCCTCATATCTAATAAAGCTAAAACTTTCATGAGTTGAATGGAATTTTGTCAGTAATGCAAACGGAATGTAGAAGAATTCATACGGATATCTTCTAAGCGCTGATGACAGTTCAGTTATTGTATACAGGTTGTATACAAACAATACATCAAAATTGGCGTCATTCCTCTGGAGATGTTGTCTGGCGGTGTTTAAGGAGTACAGAAAAAATAGTAAAAATTATTAATTGTTATTAAAACAGAGAAATTTGCAAAAAACTATATTAGAAAAACGGTAACAATGTTTTTCAAGGCAATCTGCCTAATTAACATTACGTAAATACCTGTTGCTTCGTAATTATTTAAAACTCCGGTAACCATGGATAAATAGAGAAAGTGACAATAAGATAGACAAGGATAAACGGTAAATTCAACAGGAATCTGAAACAGCTGAAAACAGGAATCGTTGACGCAACATTTTCGAAACTCATAACCTCGAATTATTAATTTGTTTACAAATTACGAAAACATACATTTGAGTCGGTAACTCCAAACAAGTGCCTGTGTAATCACCTTATTATGCACTCTTCTCGAGCAGCTTCTCGTATTCGGTTAATTAACTCCTGCTCAATTTATACCGGTGTTCAGTAATCCATTGGTTTAATGTGATCTTACATACATGGTAGGAATGTAGCGGGTATTTATTTGGTGTCTGGGAAAGTGTCAGTTGTTGTACAATGTTCTGAGTGCCCCTGAAAGGCTCTTCTCAATTATGTCCAATACTTGTTCCTCTTTGTCTGGAACCCAAACATCTATTGCCGTCCACTATCTTCCTGGAACCACTCTCTTCGCCCTTTGTTGGCGTGAGTTCTTTCAGCTTCTGCTATGTTACTGCAGCATTTCCATTGAACTAATCGCATATCCGCAAATTCGTGAAAGGAAATTGAAAGTAAGTCACAGTTTGGCTATCCACCTGTAACTATCTGGTAATGACAAAAAACATCATTGCCGCTGTGACTTTTCATCAAAAAATTGTAGAACAGAACTTTTTCAATATCGAAAATTTTCATAATTTGAAGCAAACATCGTAATTTTTCTTTTTGAATGCTTAAGTATTCCAATATGCTACCAATTAAACATGGAACCATTTCAAAATAATGCTTAATAACAAAGTTGAAATT